ACACCAGGCCAGGAAACAACACAAGAAACACTAGAATTCTCTATGTGTATTAATGCACAATTCCAGAATCTTGAAAACTTGATGAGTTTCTCTTTCCCTTCCTTTTGTGGCCAAGAACATCAAGACAATCGCCTCCTGTTTTTCCAGGAGAAGGTGATCTTTTTGTTATAATTTGTCTTCTGGACCAGGGGTCTCCAACCTTGGCAACTTTAAGACTTAGTGGACTTCAACTCCCAGGAAGCTGGCTGAGGAACTCTGCCAACTGAGGAGTTGCCAAGGTTGGAGACTCCTGTTCTGGACTGTTCTTCTACACCAGGCCCATATTGGTTTACGTTAAACGTAAACCAATATGGTTATCAGCATGAGTCTTCACTTTGAATAATCCAGCCTTCAACTACAAAATGGACGACATATCATAAATCTGAAAGAATTGCTTCAGAAGTTACTGTATTTTTTGGAGTATAAGACGCACCTTTCCCCCACAAAAAAGAGGGTGAAAATCTGGGTGCGTCTTATATTCCGAATGTAACGGGAGGCTGAAAAAAGCTTCAGAAATGAAGCTTCAAAAAAAAAAAAAAGAAAAAAAAAGAAAAAGAAAAAAAAAGAAAAAGAAAAAAAAAGCCTCCAAACAGAGCTTTAGAAAAAAAAAAAGCTTCTGAAAAGAAGCTTCAGAAAAAAAGTCTCTGAAAAAAAGCCTTTTTTTTCTGAAGCTCTGTTTTGGAGGTTTTCAGAGGCAGAAAGAAAAGTTTTTCTGAAACAGAGTTTCAGAAGCTTCAGAGACTGAAAAAAAAGCAAGGTGCAGAGCTCACAACCAATGAACCTGTTGCTAAAATTCACCTCTAGGAACAGCTGATTGGGGGTATTCAGAGAGGCCGATCCACCTGCCAATCACCTTTCTTCTTATTTTCCTCCCCAAAAACAAAGGTGCGTCTTATACTCCGGTGTGCCTTATACTCCAAAAAATACGGTAAATATTTTGGATTATTTATTATTCATTAGGCTAGAGTCTCATAGGCAATGCTTTATCACTTATTTTTGTGATAAGTGTGATCACTTATATTTTGGTCTTTATTTCTTTTAAGCTGTAATATTAAGATATTACAATGTTGGTATTATTGTGTTATATATTTATTTTATAATTATAAACTGATGGGACTACAGTAGTTCACGATCAATAAATAAATTGTTTCTCTTTATTTGTATTATTTTAATATTCTTGCATTCTCTCATCTGTACCATTTTCTGATTAAAGTTTTATAGGATCTGCATGATTTATGACCCGTAGTTCACCAGGTCAGAACTAACACTTTTTATTTCTGTATGTCAAAGTATTTTTTGTATAATGGTTTTAATCTATTAGCTAAATAAAATCCGTATTAGTATCCAAGATACAATCTAATTTCTCTAGCACACTATCTATAATTTTTCCAGATGGAAAACCATTTTTTGGGTTTCCTAGATTTGCATTCTAAGTGGAACAAAAAAGTTCGTAGAGACAGGACAAATTTGAATTTGATTTAAATGAATGTACTCATATATAGTTAAGATACAATAATCATTTCCATACTGAATAACATATCCTTCTGTTGCATTAAAAATTGTCTTCAGCCACAACTTTCATGTGAGCTCTAAGCTAGATTTTGCAGATTTGGGAAGAGTTACACAATAAGATATGTACAGTATTTGGGAGAAATATTTGGTCCATGGACTCAAACACAATTAAGTTAAAAGAATCACCAGAAAAACAAATTTTATTTTAATTAAAATCAAATACAATTAAAGCAATTAATTTCAAAAAAAACTAATGGTTTTTCTCCGTATGTTGCACTAAAAATTAAACAATATTATCTTGAATTGTGTACTTGTAATCAATACATAACATCCAATTAATTGAATTTTATTTGCAAAAAGTAAATAAAAAGGTGTCTTTTTCAATTATCTTTTGCAAATTCTATTGCTATCTTAAATTGCAGAAAAGGACAATTAAAACCATCACAATGAACAATTAAAATCATCCCCAATGGGCTTGTGATTCACAGAGCCAGAATTTTTGCCAATTTGATATGTTCCTAATAAAAGGACTTTGATTGAATATGACTGCCATTGATCATTCATTGTGGAGATTTATTACTTGGAAGCTTGACATATAATCACCTACAAAGCAGAAAAGTTCCTTACATAGTTACACATTCTGCCTGTCTCTAGTATACTCTATACCAAGGATGTCAAACTCCCGTTATCACATTGTCATCACATGACATATCACGACACATGACACTTTGCTAAAATGGGGGTGGGATAGCCAGTGCATGATGTATCTGGCCCACGGGCTGCGAGTTTGACACCCCTGCTATATACATATATTGCTAGCCATATACAAAGATCTTTACCATAACCAATATTATCAACACATTAAAAAATGCTGGAACCACAACTTTTGTACAGAAAACAAAAATCTGTTACTAAAATGGTAAATTAAGGAATCAAGGAAGTCAGCAATCATTTAACAACAAAATGAATCAAATACTTGCTGGCAAAATTTTCACACAATTATTCCATCATCAAATATTCTCTGGTCATATGTTTAGGGCTGAAATCTACTGGAAGAAATGGACTAATTACTATACATACACTGATTTTTTAGAAGTGTTATTTTTGGTTAGTGTTCTGATCTAGGCTTCCTGAGTCAGTAAAACACACAAGTAGTCTCAATGAAGTAGCATCTTCAATTTCCATTATTTTGTCTATTTTGTGGTCCCACCAGTTTTTGCTTGCTGGCAAGTGGTATTTATTGCAATGTGGTAGATATTCCAATGCACCATTGTTGCTACATTGTCATGTCGTTGTTTGTAGTCAGTCTTGCAATCTTCTTGCAGCAGCTAACTTGTAGGTCCACTCTTTCTTCAGTTTCTTTGCAGAGGCAGCATTTGCTGTCTGTTGCTGACTTCTCAATTCTGGTTTTATAGCTCTTGATTCTTAAGGCTTGGCCTATCGTTATTAGAGGTCGTATATACATAACATATCATATATAAAATTAGAGATCAAGACATAGAAAGATTTATGGTCTTGAGAACTGTGATGTTTTCTAGCTTTCCAGGCTGTCATAACTTTGAATGATCATTAAATGAACAATCAGAAGTAGAGGACTACCTGTATTGATCAGGGCTCTTGAGCAGATTATGAAGCAAAATGTTTGCAAGCACATAGAATGGCATGCTACAATTAACATGAATCACTATTGATCTGTCACAAACAAATTATGTTCAATTAACCTTAATCCCTTAAATAGAGTCGATTACCTAATAGATAAAGAAAATTCATAGCTGTAGAGCACCAGGACTTCAGCAAAACCTTTATAAAGTGCCTCACGGTATTCTTAGAAAAATGTGATAACATGATAGATGATATAACACTCATCAACTGTATTCACAGTTGGCTAAAAAGCAACATCAAGAGTGGTCATTAATATTTTCTTTTCTGTTTGGATGGAAACATTGAGTCATATGCCAGTGGGGGTCCCCCCCCCGTTTCTGGTGCTGTTCAACCTTTTGTCTTACAACTTGTATGAAAGTTGGGACAACACTTATACAAATGGCAGGTAAGGCAAAGCTTGGCGCATTGGCTAATTAAATAAGAAAACAAAAAAAAATGTTGGCTAGGAAAAATGCAAGGCACAAATATAGGATGGAGACACTTGGCCTTTTTTCAGATTTCCATACTTACAGTCTTGCTGATAAATAAGGCATTCACATTGGGCATGAATCATGAACTGAACTAGTTCAAGTGTGACACAACAGTGACACAAATGAAGACGAATATAGGTGTCCCAGGCTAATGTCCCAGGCTAATGTTGCAGGATCCAATCTGGGTCGGTCATCAGGACCAGAGGTTTTGTCTTCCAAGCTTTCAGACTCGTGCACACACTCTGCTAGAGAGACGTTCCCTGTAGATGGGCTCCAGCTCGAGTCCAAAAGCTCAGAAGACAAAACCTCTGGTCTTACAGTGACAGTTTGTAAGGAATTGTAAGAATAATTAATTTTCACTTGTTTAAACCATCAGTGCAAATATACTGAAGTAATGTTATACCATAGGGACACGGTGGATCAGTGGCCAAGACACTAAGCTTGTCGATCGAAAGGTCGGCAGTTCAGCGATTTGAATCCCTAGTGCCGCATAATGGGGTGTGCTCCCGTTACTTGTCCCAGCTTCTGCCAACCTAGCAGTTCGAAAGCACGTAAAAAATGCAAGTAGAAAAATAGGGACCACCTTTGGTGGGAAGGTAACAGCGTTCCGTGCGCCTTTGGCATTTAGTCATGCCGGCCACATGATCACGGAGACGTCTTCGGACAGTGCTGGCTCTTCGGCTTTGAAACGGAGATCAGCACCGCCTAGGGTCGGGAACAACTAGCACATATGTGCGAGGGGAACCTTTACCTTTACCTTAATTCTACACCAGCATATTCTCTGTTTTCCCTTTTTATGTAGGATAGTAACTAACTAGTCGGTCGCATTTCTGCTGGATGGTGAAAAAGTGTCCATTCTATGGCTTGCTTTATGCAACCCTAATTAACAACAGAAACCTCTTCCATACTTAAGCAATAATAGGTTTCAGCACAATAAAACTGGATTGAAAATGTCCTTTTTACAAAATGAATAGTATTAGGCCAATGATGTGGTAAAGCAGATTAACTTTAGAAAAACATTTGACTTTAGTAAGCAATTAGCCTGGATGTTTAAGATTGCAAATTGAATATTTTAATTAGCCTCACAATAAGTTACAATCTTACCTAATAACAACTGAGCACAGGGAGATTTTCCAATAGTTATATGCATTTAATAAAATAAAAGCCTTTGTTGAAAATCACATTAAAGTATATGGAGATGCAAATGTTATTGCTTGGATTGCTGCTTTTTCATCTAGTTCCAATATTGCTTAATACAAAAATGCTTAGAGTATCTGTTCCCTTAATTCTATAAAAAACATTACAGCACTCTGAATAAAAGATGGTTACAAGAGTCTTTATTTTGTAAACTATACATGAACATAAAAAGAAAAACTATTTTAATGTTACATAAGATAATCATTAAATTTAATATTAAATCTATTTAATCAAATGCAAAGAAACTTTATTTCAATTAATTGCAGATTAAAAATTAGGGAAAATGATAATGCAGAGTTGAAATTAAACAACTGCTTGCATAATTACACAGAGTTTTGTCAATTTCATTAAGGCATGAAGCCATAATTTGATATGAATGAAGGTAGTGGAATCTCAAAATGTTACACAATTAACATGCTAACATAAATAGTGATTAAAATAATTTTGTCTATAGTCAAATTGTGAATGCAACTCTATTTAAGAATTATAATGCATTCTGTATGGCAATTATGTAAAAATTGGGGCAGAGGAGAAAAAAAATATTCTCCATAACAGCAGCAGCACTTATAGTGATATAAAATTTGGAATTTGGAAATGCTTGGCTACTGCCTCATAAATTTATTTCAGTATGCATGCTATAAATCTTTCTATTACTATTTTGCAAGGCACCTTACAATAGCTCCTCTAAAGTTTTGAACTAACAGCAAAAAGGGATAAATTAGAAGAGAAATGTTTTTCATTTAAAAATGAAAAAAGCCATAGTTCAAAAAACAATTATCCAGACATGTGTCATCGTTATCAGTTACAGTAACACAGAAACACAAACTTTATGGAAAGTTTTACTCAGGACAGGAGAAAGGAACAAAATAAAACCCCTCTGTCTATGTTTTTTGGGATTGACTGAATTTATTTCTAGTTGATTTCAGAAAGGCTAAACAGATTAGCCTTGGTTAATTTTTGAAAGTGAGAATACTATGGCAGTATATTAGATTGGGAAATCAAAAAGTTCCTGGAGATCTATGGCAGACATTTCCATTTTGTTTTCCCTAAACAACATGGGCCCGTCCATATAGTTACTAGGAGTCAAGCTAGGGGTTGGCAGCTATCTCCTTTTTATAACTTATGGATTTCAACTCCCAGAATTGCTGAGCCAACCATGCTGGCTCAGGAATTCTGGGACTTGAAATCCACAAGTCATAAAGGGGCCAGAGTGCTCCACCCCACTTTAGAGAATGAACACATATCACCGTGATGGCAAACCTATGGCACCCGTGCCACAGGTGGCACGTGGAGTCATTTCTGCGGGCACGCGAGCCGTCACCCTAGATCAGCTTCACCTCACGGCCAGCTGATTTTTGGGTCTCTGCCGCGCATGCGGGAGACGCACGCACATGCCCATGCTGCCCTGCCCCTGCCAGGAGTCTCCATGTGGCCTGTTTTGGATGTCAGGTAAGTACAGGGCTCGCGCAGAGGCTCTGGGAGGGCAAAAAACGGGCCTACTAGAAGTCCGGAAATGGGCCGTTTCCAGCCTCCGGAGGGCCGGGAAGGCCATTTTTGCCCTCCTAGAGGCTCCAGGAAAGCCTCCGGAGCCTGTGGAGGGCGAAAAATGGGCCTACTGGAAGTCCATAAACAGGCCATTTCCAGCCTCCAGAGGCTTCAGGGAGGTCTGCTAGGCCCAAAACGGGGTGCGGGGGGGGGGGTTGCATGCACCTGCACAGGGGGAAAGGGCAGCACGGGGGGGGGGATTGTGCGTGCCTGCACAGGGGCATTGCATTATGGGTGTGGGGACACGGGTGCGCACTATCGCGCTTGCGCTTTTGGCACCCAAGCAAAAAAAGGTTAGGCATCACTGACATCATTTCAAGGTCCTAGTAATTTGAAAATTGAAAACATAACAGTTCAAAACAGAAAAAGAGTACCTGGCACTTCGTGTCCTCTTATAGATTTCTCTGCTGCTCTAATATACAGTAAGCTGATGACATGTTCAAGTTTCCTTCTCTTGCTCATGCACATTCTGAAAAATGTCCCTGTGATCTACATCACGAGAAAACTGCTTTATAATGGAGCACTGGTTTGCTGGAAGTGTGCCTTTAGATTTTGAAACAGCGATTGTTCTTAAAGTTATCTTGGGGTTTGCTTGTTTTTCACTACCTCACACATCTCAAGTATCTATTTTTCCCACCTTGGAGGCTACACTCCAGTGCATTTCTTCTGCTGAGTGGTATATAAAAACAACACATAATATAATGATTTTCATTTAAACGAAAAATGTCCAGCTGCAGTGTTTCAAATAATCATACAAAATATACATGTAGATTTGATTCCATTTGACCTCTGAAGGTAGAAGAATTTCTGGGATAGCATCTTGTAAATTTTAGAGACAAATTAGTCACAGCTAAGAAAATCAAATGTATCCCTCATGGTCATCATCATCATCATCACCCTCATCTTCATCATCATCATCTTCTATTTCATCTTCATCATTCATGATATCCTCATCCTCATCATCTGTCCATTCATGGAAATCACCACTCGCAAAATCCCCCGATGTCTCTAAATCTACACAACGAAGAGGAAAATATATAAATAGGTAACACACACAAACACACACACACAATTAATGTTTCTTTGTGTTAAGTGTCCAACAGGATTGTTATTTTTATTTATTTTTTGGGAATTAATCCTAGAGACCTAGTGGTTAAAGCACTAAGCTAGAAAGCGGGAAACGTGAGTTCTAATCCTGCTTTAGGCATGAGAATTGTTTTGGGAAAATAGGAGGAGGAAGGTGTGTTGCATATGTTTGTTGCCTTGACTTAGGAGTTATGTGTAAAAATAATATACAGAAAATAAATAAGTACAAACAATTAAAACAAAAGCAAAAGAAAATGATCGTGAATGTCCAGAAAAACACAACATAATGCCTTCCAAAATAGAACAATACCAAAAACATTAAAATCAACAAGGATTCAGTAAGCACCCTGTCTCCAGGCCTTTCCAGCATTTATGGAACATCCTCAGAGTGTTTATCGGAAGTGAGGGGAGGGATACTATTCCAGAAGGCAAAAACACTTGGAGTTATCAGATAACTGTCAGGCCCCGAGCTATGGGGGTCTTTCTATATGATAATCCTCACCTTGAATTGCACACAGAAACTGGCTGGCAACCACTGCAATATACAAAACAGCAATGGCACACAGACCTGCCTGTGATATATAAATACCATCCTGTGCTGCCATATTCTTGACCATTTGTAGCTTCCAAATAATTTTCAAGGGCAATCCCACGTACAGCCTGTTGAAGTAATCCAGTCTTGAGATTACGGCACGAGTGACTTTCTGACAGATCTCTCAATCTATGAATGGGCACAACTGGTGCACCAGATTAATCCATGCAAAGGTTTTCTTCCCAAAGCTGCCCCTTGCTCTTCAAGCTGGAGCAGTGAATCTTTTCCCAGGTCTTTCTAGATAAATACTATTTTAATAAATCATCAGAGACCTACAGTACCTGCTGAACTGAACTATACTGAAATGAAGTACCACAACTCCTCCTCAATCGATTCATTAGAATTCATTTGAATTCTGAAGAACTCTATGATGATATTAACTGCCTAGAGAAGAAAAGCATGATTTGCTGATTGGTTATCCAACCTTTACATTTTTATTCTTTCCAGTTAAGGTTCTCTAGCAACATAACAGAACTTTAATCAGGGGGGGCAGAGAATGTATAGGGTCTCTATTGTGCACAGAATACCATTACGTGGCAGCCTAAGGTTGTTGTTTTAGAGTAATATATTCCCATCATCCTTTCCCTGGGGGGCTAAACATGACAAAACATTAATTTGGCAAAGAAAGTTTTCAATTAAGTAAATGGTAAATTATATAAAGTATCTTGTACCTCAAGTAGAAGAGAAACTTATTAAAATTAAGGTTAATTATTGTAAGCAGAAAGCAATGGCTTCTTCTGAAGGCAAGCAAAAATAGGTGATATGAACTTGCTCAATGATTTAATGAGTCTGTAATTATGATAGCATTCATTGCAATCTATTCATAAAACTGATTCAACACAATATTCTTTTATTAGTTCATTATTTATATGAAAAGTTAATGGTCCAAGATAAAGATTAAGATAAGTGAGAAAGTGTCAGTCTGATGTCTTCTTTGAATGTGACATGTAGATTATTTGAGGCATATGCTCAATTCTCAGCCCCCAAATCCTTTCCAAATTAGTCTCCAAATCAGCCTTTCCCAATATGGTATCTGTCTAACATAAAGTGGTAGAGATAGAAGTTATAACTTAATATACTGTATGTGCTCACCCTCAAGTTGGGAAAATTAGTTTAGATTAAAAACCTTCAAAATTAGCTATTGCAATGCTGGAATTAGCACACAGTTTTAATGGGATGTTTTGGAGACTTACCACAATCTGCAGCTCCATGTGTTCGGGATCCTGTTACCTCATTGCCATATCTGTCGACACACCAGCACTGACCTGCAGTTCCATGACACTGAGTTGGTTTATAGTAGCCATCTTCATCACATAAAGGAATATACTGCCCTGAACAAGACAAAAAATCACAAATGTTTTGCGGCTTTTATATTATGACTCCAATGAAGCATCTCATAACATTTAATGGATATTTACTTTAGTATAAGCACTCTTTCTCCTGAATTTCTTTTAAATATCAAGTCAATATGTCCTGAAAGAGATTGGTTGCTATGCAAAAAAAAAAAGAGGAAAGATTATACCCTTTAATTAGCATAGCTTTACAAAATAGAGTTAATAAAAATTATCCAAAAATGTTGTTTTACTTTAATTTACTTTTGTATTACCTAGTCGTAGTGTTTTAAAAGTAAAATGGCCATTCTAGCAATAGTTTAAAATAACAGCACTATCTTCAAGGGGAGGCACGGTAGGTCCGTAGCTTAAAAGATTTGGGAGAAGGTCTGTGCTCCGGCAGTTTGAGTCCTACCACCAATTGACAGAGTGAGCTCCCATCACTTGCCTCAACTCCTGCCAGTCTACCAATTCAAAAGCATGTAAATGCAAGTAGATAAATAGGTACTTCAGTGGAAAGGCAACAGCATTCAGTGTTTCACCATATGTTTTGTGCTGTGGCATGATGTCATGATGGCCACATGACTTCGGAAACATCTTTGGGAAGCCTTGGCTGAATGGCTTAAAGAAATGAAGATGAGCACTGCTAAGACTAGTGGAATAAGACCTGTAGGGACACTTTTAATTTTTTACTATCTTCAAACTAATAATGAAATAATTTTAATAGCTTTCAATGTGTTTATACATTCTGTTAATAGAATTTTGGTTGATTATTTTAGGATTCATGTTAATTTTGTATTGCAGTTTCACTAGAATTATTTATATTGTGTAAGCAAAAAAAAAAAAAAAAGCTTCAAAAAATAACATATAACTTACCTAGAAATTTCTTTCCCCCTTGCTGTTTGTAAATGTTGCTGAGTAATGACTGGCAAGGTGGATCTAAAATAACATCAGGCATATTAAAATTTAGCAAGTATGACAACTGAAGAAAGTTTTGCTCAATTTATAAGTTTCTTTCAAATATTTTAAAATGTTTGATTATCATTTTAAACTTCTTATCCAGAAGATAGTCACTAAACTTGGTTTGCAAATCATTTTTCGAGACTGGATTACAGAAATGTTCTGATTCTGCCTCTGCTTATGAGCACTGAAATGCCATAGGACAACCTTTCCCAGTTTGGGTCTTTCCATACATATTGATGCATACTAAAAAGCAGAGACATCACCCCTGCCAACAAAAGTACATATAGTCAAGGCTATGGTTTTCCCAGTTGCAATGTATGGCTGTGAAAGTTGGACCATAAGAAAGGCTGAGTGCCAAAGAATTGAGGCCTTTGAACTATGGTGCTGGAGAAGACTCCTGTGAGTTCCTTGGACTGCAAGGCGATCAAACCGGTCAGTCCTAGAGGAGATCAGCCCTGACTGCTCTTTAGAAGGCCAAATCCTGAAGATGAAACTGAAATACTTTGGCCACCTAATGAGAAGGAAGGACTCACTGAAGAAGAGCCTAATGCTGGGAAATATTGAGGGCAAAAGAAGAACGGCATGACAGAGAATGAAGTGGCTGGATGGAGTCACTGAAGCAGTAGGCATAAGCTTAAATGGACTCCAGAGAATGTTAGAGGACAGGAAGGCCTGGAGAAATGTTGTCCATGGGGACCTGCAATGGGTTGGACACAACTTCGCAACTAACAACAACAACAATACATATTGATACATTTGGAACCATTGGACTGAAGAAGGTTCTTTTAAACAAAGTATGACAAGTGCAGGTTTGCCCTGCTATTTATATATTACTTCTGATAACTAAATATATTATTTAGTTATACTGTATACAGTATATATTATAATATATATTATATCTATTAATAATAGATATCATACAGTAGACCTAATTTCTTTGAATTAGTTTAATTTTTACAAAGATAGTCAGGAATGTCATTATATCATCATATTTTCCAGTAATAAATTCTATTAAAATAATTAATGTATATAGAGTACATTTTAGATTATAAAAAAATCATTCCGTTTACTCATGTACATTTTATTTCTATTGTTTCATGTATTTATATATGTGTGATAGCATGTATACATACATTTGCTTATCCAAACTATACAAAATTCGACAAACAACCAGAAGAGTTTTAAAACATACTAATATTTAATCTGTCAAAAATATATCTTATATAATAACTGACAATTTAAAGTATTCGAAAAAACATTATTGAAAAATAGCAGAACATATTTATTTAGCTGAAATTGACAGTAACTATTCTGCAGAGGCAAAACATTAGTCCCATATCTATATTCCAGGGAGAAAATGCAAAAGTACACAAGCTTCTAACTTCCATTGAGAGAATTACTCATTGAAACCAGCGTTTGACTAGATGGTGCCTTCTTTGTACATGACTTGCCATTGTATTTTTTGAGAATAAATCCCCAGGAATAGGATAGGGAAGTCTATCAACCTCTCCAGTACAAGACAAAATGGAATGGGACAACTTGCTGCTGCCTTTTTGCAGTGGCCAACTCATCCAGCCAACTTGCTGTGGCCAACTCCCCATGGGCCAACTCTCCATGGCCAATTGACCATGAGACAACCTGCCACAGGACAACTCACCATGGAACAATTCAACAATTCAATTTATTTAAAATAATTAAAAAGTTATTTTAATTTTTCCATCCACGTTTCATTTTATCCCTCCTTTTGTTAATGATTTTATTCCATCATTTCTTTGACACTTGTCCTGCAGCAAGTTGTCCCACAGCGAGTTGGCTGCAGCAAGGTGACTGAAGCAAGTTGGCTGTGGCAAGTTTGTCCTAGACCCAAGACAGAACCATTCCCTAATCCTTGATCTTCACTATTGCACCATAGAGATGGTGATATTGGTTGGTTGACTCAGACAACAAAGAAGTAACTAAATGCTCACTTTCAAGAAAAAAGTCCTCTACTACTCTGCTATATTCAAAATTCTTGGATAACCTTGTAGATCAGAGGTGTCAAACTGGGGGCCAATGGGCCAGATGCATCATGTGCAGGCCATGCGCAGCTCCGTAAATGGGAAAAACATTGCAAGACATCATGTGACAGCAACGTGACGCCACAAGTTTGACACCCGTGTTGTAGATGGCCCAGACTTGACAAGCAGCAACCAAATACAGGATGATTATTCAAAATATTTAGATAGGTTTGCCATGGCGTGGCTTAATAGAATAGAATAGAATTCTTTATTGGCCAAGTGTGATTGGACACACAAGGAATTTTTCTTGGTGCATACACTCTCGGTGTACATAAAAGAAAAGATACATTCATCAAGAATCATAAGGTACAACACTTAATGATAGTCATAAGGAAACAGTCAATATAAATCTTAAGGATACAAGCAACAAAGTTACAGTCATACAGTCATAAGTGGGAGGAGATGGGTGATAGGAACGATGAAAATATTAATAGTAATGCAGACTTAGTAAATAGTTTGACAGTGTTGAGGGAATTATTTGTTTAGCAGAATAAATATAAATATAAATAAATATTTATGTAAATATAAATATTTATTTAAATATGTAAATATTTTCCCAGCTAAATATTTCACAGTTAAATAATTAGCTTTATATCTTTTTATCATTATTTCATGACTATATGTATCAATGATATCTGTATCTACAATATATATAGTAATATCCATGTACTGAGTAAGAAACTATCTAAAGCATTTTGAGTTTTGAACTCACTGAACAACAAAACACTTTTTGTGTTTAATTCCTTGAGTAACCCTTTTGGAATTTGTTCTTATACTAATTAATCTAGGATAGGAGAATGTTTGCTTATGTATGGATTTAACTCTTTTGTTGTATATATGCTGTTGCACTGTATTTTTAAGAACCAGCTTAAACTGCCATAAGGCATATTGTATTTTCCATTTTTCCATAGCTTTCAACTGTTTGAATATTATTTTAATTGCTCACCTTGCTGCCTTTGGAAACAGTAACACCATTCATTGTTTGATATTAAACTGTCCTTGTAAGTGTCACAAGAATTGAAGAATGCCTTGGTGCACTGCTCATTCTTGTCAAGATATATGCTTCCAAGTTCTGATTGGTCCAAAAGTAGGTCATAGTTTGTATCAAGTCTGTTAAACATCCAGCCTAGAGAGTCCTTGCAAATTGGTAAAATGCTGGTATCAAATCCTAAGAGGCAAAAACACCAAGCAATTAATTCACTAATACAAACATAGCTGACACACATATCAACATATTCAGTGGTGTCCTTTCTCACAGAAACTATTTTATACCATAAAACTCAGATCAGGTCTGTACTAATGGCATTTAGCAAGGGTACTAGGTGATGCAAAATTTGAAAGGATTACTAAATAGCAGCAACACTAAATATTTTAACCATTATTTAAAACAAACCTGGTAATTGGCAACTTCAAAAATTAGTAACATGAATTGCAATTAAAATTAATTTAATTAATTTAATAATTCATTAATTCATTAAAAAAAACCCTGCTAAAATGGCCTTACATAGCATGTGTCAGGGTTCTAACTGATGCCCTAATTAAATCATGAGCCTCAAGCCAAGCTTCAAAAGAGATCCAGTTATTTATGAGGAGCTTCATGTCGGCACGGACCAACTCTGGCTTCACTTAATTCGCATCCCAGCTCTGACCCTATTTCTCCCTCCCCCCAAGATGTGTCATCAGTCACATTCTCCAACGAAGCAATTTCGTGGGTTGTAGAGATCCCTCCCTCCGGCCACTGTGGGTCTGCGTGGATATGACCTTGACCTGGCCAGCTGGAATGTGCTTTATTTTGACTGAAATGCAAGTTCCTCAATGCAGCTGCGATGTTGTATTCCCCACCCATCCCCCGCCTATGGCAACTCGAGAGGTCAGGAATGCTTCGCGAGTTGAAAGCATGATCTTCAACTACCAAACGTTCTGCAGCTTTTTTAACATTATATAAAATATTACTAATATATGAGTCATCATGGCTTGGTATGTTTGCGTAAGTTTCAGAGGAAATGGGCCACCTTTAAGAAATCCTGTTTCCAGATTCTAGACCAAGGGTGTCAAACTCGATTTCATTGAGGGCTGCATCAGGGTTGTGTTTGACCTCAGGGGCCCAGGGTGTGCATGGCCAGTGTGGGCAAGGCCAGCTTGACGTCACTTGTGTCGGGGGTGCCTGTGGCAGCCCGAGCGCTCTGAAAACAAAAACAGAGCTCGGGAGCTCCATTTTCAGCTGCAACGGCCTCCTGCAACCTTCTGCCAGTGAAAACGGAATTCCTGAGCTCTGTTTTTCACTTGCAGAGGCACGATGGGCCAGTCCTCGCTATTTCCAGGGCAGCCCTGCGGGCCAGATCTAAGCATCCCCTGAGCCAGATCTGGTCCCTGGGCCTTGAGTTTGACACCCGTGTTCTAGTCTCTCTTACTCTCCAAAGTGATACCTGTAGGCACTGCATGGCTGAATTGGAGCAGATGGACAGATTGCCTCTGGAGATTATGATCCTGTAGGTAACTCAAATCCTATACAGTAGGCTTTATGGATTATTAACAGCAATAAATTGTTAATTTATTGAACTGAATTTAGAAACACACCGGCAACTAATGTAAGTAACATCTGCAAGATATACAGTACGTAGTCATCCTACAAATATGTCACAGTTGCCAAATACAGGCTGTGGGGTCCTTGGTAGTCTCTGAACTTGGTTGTTAGACAGAACTGTGAGCAGTACAACTTGAGGTACATGTATTTTCTTCTACTAATAGAATACAGATCAATATACTCTGCACCAATATAATCTCTGGTTTGTTTTCAAGGGCAGTTTCTGTGGAGCATGTTGTACTATTCCAATTGCATTAAGAACACAAATAACTAGATGTTTTGCCACTTTGTCACAAAAAACTGAAAACAAGCCCATCTTTCCCTCTAGATATGGCTCCTGTATTTCATCTCACATATTTTTTTAGTAAATTAAATCTGACGAAGATTACCCTCAATATTTCCATCATTTCCATATTTGAGAGGTTGCTGAGATTCATGGTAGAACTGCCTGCCATTATCCTAAGAAAATACCCTGAGTGTCTTCTGGAAATCATACAGATCTATATGGTACCTGGAGTACATTTACCATGGATAACGTACTTATAGACTATTTTAAGAAATAGAAGGCTCTAGAAAAATTATGTAGTGCATATCTATACTCCTTCTTTGTTCTCCTGTGTATTAGAAGAGCTTATTTGTTAATCACATTAATACTTACAGTTTTATAACTTTGCCCATACTATGGTATAGACAGAATATAGTATACTGTTTCCCTTCTTCAATGTTGGTTTAATGAATCAAGGATCAATTTTTTTCCCTAAACTTTTTACACCAAGGAAAAATATCAGTTACTATAAGATATACATTCACTCTTGGTTTGTATTAATTCAAGTTCACTATATCTAGTGAAAGAATTCAAAGTATTTCCATGGCAAAGGAAAAGTTCTCCTTATATACATAACTCCAATAAAAAAAATAAACGAGAAGATTGAAACAAGAGTTTTAATTTTGGCAGGCAAGTACAGTAGGTGCTGGCATTCTGGATCACATCACATTGTGCAAATACGATACTTTTATATGGCCAGTTGCTGTATTCTGGTTAATAACATTTTATTAAAATTTCTATAGATATAAAACTAATTAATGCCATAATTAGTGCAGCAACTTGGTGAATATTTCATAAAACACATCTGGTTATTATTCTGAACAAATAGTTGCTAAAGATTATTAAATTTGAAAATACACATATGGAAAAAAGTTGTTAGACCTAAAAGTTTAATAAAGGATCTCTAGCTGCAAGAAAACACAGAATTATTTAGTAATGTATAAGTTAACAATGTATAAGTTAATTAGTATGTTTATTTATTCTGTTTATGGGTCTCCCTCCCTCCCTCTCTCTGAAAACATATTAAAACTAATTAAAGCAATTGCTTGATTGTGAATATGTTTACATTTTATATTCATTTTGAAGCAAAAAAGATCTCTTGTGCCCTAATCTGGGACATGCCCCTATACTAGACTGTTCTTGTGGTACACATTATAAATCATCCCTCCTGGCAATGACCTTTTTTAAAAATAATAATCAGGAAATGAGAACAGATTCCCAAACCAGAACAGGAGCATATTTCATACATATGCTTGAAATCGGAACTTGTCTGGGTTTTTTTAAAAAAATTCACCATATCCCTATATGAACTTAAAAACAAAGTTAACGAACAGGATAAATACAATAAATATGAAATATAATTTTAATAAGAAATGCATCAGAATTTCACAAAAGAATGTACAGGAAGTTTTGTATATAGCATTTCCGTCATTTTTTCTCATGTTCAGTTTATATTGTATGTGCTCTAGATTATGTTAGAACAGAGATTTTCTTCACGATGAACAACATGATTGAGCTAAGCATTTGAAAAGGAAAGTAGGTCATTAGAAAGTTTTTTAAAAAGTTAAGTTTTTCATATATTTCGTTGAGATAAGCTAATGCAAGTTAAAATACACAGATGTCTCTTTGGGAAAAAGCTTGATTTGGGGGGGCAGGAAAAAACAGTGGTTTGGTCACATAATAGGCCTTTTACCGATTTTATATATATAGCAGCCCATTAATTTCATTTTGTTCTGTTTTCTTCCTTTCAGAAAAAAATGCAACATTCCAGACATTACTATAAATACCTTTGCATTTTTTAGGCCTTGTCATTCCCACTATTAGCAACTATAATGCATTATAATAACACTAAAATTTGACCACAGGTACAGGTAGTCTTTGACTTACAACCACAACTGAGCCCAAAAGTTCTGTTGCTAAAATGAACCATTTGCCAAGTGTCCGAATTTTGGACCATGTGACCACTGGGATTCTGCAACAGTCGTAAGTATGAAAAAATGGTCATAAGTCACTTTTTTCAGTGCCATTTAACTTCAAACGGTCACAAAATTGTAAGTTGAGGACTACCTGTATTCCTTTTTTTATCTATAAGGATGCATGTATAATAAATAGGTTCTCAGAAGTGGGTTTCACATAATTTTGCCGCCAGTTTGCCATGCACCAAAAATGCGCTTTGCTCATGCACGTTGCTCATGCGGGCAGCTTGCATTCATACATGCGGCTTAGAAAACGTGGCTAAATAGGATGGCAGGTTGCCAATACCGGTTTGCCTGAACTGATCTGAACCGGCTGAATACCACCACTGGTGGCTCTATGTCTTTTCTTTTCAAAGCCAAAAACTAAAAATTTTTTTAAAAAGACATTTGCTACTTTACAGCCACAGAGCAAATTCATGACTTTATTTTATATTAATAAATTTTGAACCACATTTTCTCCATTTACAATCAACAGCCAGAATCTGAACTACCGTATTTTTCAGAGTATAAGACGCACCCGAGTATAAGATGCAGCTTAGTTTTTGGGGAGGAAACTAGGGAAAAAAATCTGCCTACCAGGTATTCATCTGGCTAGTGTCCTTAGTCTGGTCAGCTTCAGCACATTAGTTTGTTGGTTTTTATCTCCTGCTTGGGGATAAAAAACAGCTTTTAAAGCACAACTGATCTTTGGAGAGAGAAGCAATGAGAAAAGCAGGCAAACCACCGAGATGGCTTCACTCGCTAGCGCCTCCTTAGGGCTGAAAAAAAAGCTCCACAGTTGAGAGTCGGAGGGAGCTGGGGAAGATCACTTCACTGAAAAAAAGCTTCTAAAGCACAGCTGAGAGTCGGAGGTAGATTGCTTCACTTGCTAGTGTCTTGTTAGGGCTGAAAAAAAGCTTCGAGAAAGCCACATTTGGAGTATAAGACGCACCCAAATTTTCAGCCTCTTTTAGGAGGGAAAAAAATGTGTCTTATACTCTGAAAAATACGGTACTTACAATTTTAGTCAAAAAGTGTGTATCTTTTCCCGATATTGATAATCTGGAATGATTAAGTTGCAACAGGACTTTGACAAAAGAATCTGGCATTAAATACTGATGAGTGGAGGGATCAACAGAGGATTTAGTAGCTGATGAATTGAAGCAAATTAAATCTATAAATAAAAATTTGACCCCCTGATCACTGCCCTAGCCACAGCATGTGTAACAAGGGTTAAGCACATGAACACGGAGGGACTTGATTCACTTCTCAGAATAGTAACAAAATATTATATAGTTTTAAGC